TATAGATGAATTTTTCAATTATTAATGTTCGCAAAGAAAAAATAAATTTATATAATTTAATAATTTATTGGTTATTCCAACAAATTACTTGATTATTTCTTACTTATACCAGGAAAAAAACTATATGAATTGTTATGCTATTCCCAATAAAATGTATTTTTATTTTTCTCGCCCATGTTTGCCTAGATTTTTTTGCATTTTCAAGACTCTTTAGATCATTAACCATTTGTTCAATGTGTTTAAAATTTGGTTCATTGTTTTTTATCCATTTTTTTGTTGAGTAAATTCATATGACTTGGAAATAAAGGTATTTGCCTATGTAAAATAGTTTTAATAACATTTGTACCATATAAATTACTTGTACTGTATTGACTAGAGTTAACATCTCAATGCAAATTAATATGTTTTTATTATAATATATATCTGGATATAATTAATTCCATATTTAAATTACTGTTTACTATAATTTTATACATAGCAATATATCAGGATCCTGAGTAATACATAGATAGGTTAGATTTAAGTTTGCTTATTTTCATACCAAATTTGCTTCAAAAATGCTTATTTTTGATCAAAATTTGAAAATTTACTATATAAAATGCAATATTTATTGAATTTCCCTTAAAATTTTCTTTTTTAGTAATCTCTAACCTATTTATATATTACTTCGGCATATATCTATCCAAATATATATATATCCAGATTGAAGTATTAATTCTAGTATTAATGTTAAGTTTTATATACATACTTCATTTAATATTTTTGTTAACTGTATAACAATTTCAATTGTATTTTTATTATTGTTATAATCTTCATTTTCTGTCTTACAACTATCAATATTATTTTTTGAAAAGATGATATATTTGTATTATAAATTTGTAAAATTGTTTGTTATCGCAATTGGATAATTTTTTTAAGTAGTTTCTAAATAGTATAATCAGTTTTAGATACAAGTAAATAGGTTTTGTTTTAACATATCTATAATTTTAAAATTAATATAATAATAAATATTAAACTTGAATTATATTATAATAATATCAATTCATACTTTAGGGCATTGATATTTATTATATAATTTTTTAGGAGTAGGAGGTTGTATGTATACTATAGCAATATTTTACATTACACATAACTATATAATATATGATTAATTGGCCAATTACAATTGGTCTTATGTGGAAGGGTGTAGCTCTATAATTAATAGATATCTATTATATATTAAGGAACAACATTGTGATAAAACATAGGAGATAAACACGCAATCTGATTGGACACTGGTTTTTACATGCATGCTGTGTAACTTATATAAATAATGATCGCCAGATCGACATAACTATACACATTAAATATATACTACATACATTTTGTACGTACTTATATATGTAAAATAGACTATTAACTCAAACCACCATTCGAATTCAAGCCAGAATAATTCTATTTATATAGGGCAATAACTATATATTAATGTAAAGACCTATTAGTATGCATTTTCCAACATTTTTTCGTAGTCATATTCTAAAATACATGAAATTAATAAAAAGTATTTGCGTTACAAGTTTGGGTAATGATTACAAATAAATATCAATAGTTACTAAAGTGTGTATGCATTTTTTTAAAAAAATCTTTTTACCCAAATACTCTATATATCCTTTACTCTATAACTCACTGCGTACTACAACTGATAACATCCTACTCTTAAAAAGGATTAACGCTTTACTTACATTCCCCTTTCAGTTACTGCTTTTAATTCTATACATACACTTTTCTTAAAACGTATTACATGTTGTTATATTTACAATATACAAATTAAGTGAATCTAGAAATCATAGTATTGGAATGTTATAGTACAATATGGTTTAGCTTGATAGAGCAAAATAACACAAACACGTTTGTCAGTTTTAAAATTTTCGCTAAACTGCAACTTCATTAGAGAATTAATGTTGCTTTACGATCTTTTATTTTAATTTTCCTAATTGTTTTGCATTACATGTTATTTTGTAATATATTTGGATTTCCCTCAATATAGTATCTAGACTTTCACTTTCATCTACCATTGTCGTGGAGCATGCTAAGTAACATTACGTGCACTTCTACTAAGGTCATTGCCTACTATATAGTTTGCATTTAGTAGGTACATAGTATAATTAATCAGTACTTTTTTTTTGCAGACTACTAAAGATAGCTTCTTACGCAAAATTTTTGAGAAATAACTGCTTTTTGCAAACACGCACGTACTTCCTTTTTGTGTAATATTATGTGCAATTACAATTTTGATATCGTTACTAGGTGTCTGTTACACATTCTATCATGTTATCATTTTTTTAAGGGGTCCTTTTATTTTTTACCTATGCTTTCATATCATTTTCCGTTAATTTAACACATTTTTTATTAGTATACATTTAATTTTTTATAATACCAGAGTTCCCCTTTATTCATATTACACATAAGTTTTTTTTGCCTTATAATGTAAACATCACGACTTTTTTACGACACATACCCATATAGTTTCTATTACCCAGTCTTGAGCTGGACTTACATATATAATAGCATAAAAAATAAACAGAAAAGTTGTTCACTTTTTTTTGAATTTATTGCTTTTTCAAACTTTTCTATTTATATTTTCTTTTCTATATTCAAAATAATATTGAACATGAACCAACTTTCGCGTGATCAAATCGCACAACCCCAAAGTCGAAAATCCATTGCCCAACAAGCAAGAAGAGAGCATAAGCGCATGAAGAGAACTACTAATCAAAGATCTGCTACTCAACGACAAAGAAGAGAACGAGAACACGAATCTTCTATGCAGTTATATTGAAGCAATAATCAACATGACCTTGGTCACATAGATAAAGAATGTATTCATTGTGGTGCACTCCATTGGTTGGACGAATGTGTTCAAGCATCTTTGAAAAAAACTCCAAAGTTTGGAAAATGTTGTCATCATGGAAAAGTTAAACTCGCTCTTCTTCAAGAACCATCTTTACCATTACGCCAGATCTTTGAAGGCCAGAATGCATGTTCTAAAGAATTTTATGAAAATATATGACAATATAATGCAGCACATGCGTTCACTTCGCTTGGAGCGACCATCGATCAATCTGTCTTTTGTGGACAGGCCCTGTACACTTTTCAAATTCAATCAGGCACACTTCTTCCTGAATCCAATATGACTGCACGGTATGCTTAACTTTATATTTATGACCCAGACTTTGCACATCAAACACGAATACGCAAAAATAGAAATTTGAATCCTCAAACATCACGGGAATTGCAAGAGATTCTACGAAAGCACCACACATTCTACTCTATATATCAACAAGCACATGAAATTTTTGCACAAGCTAAAGAAAGGGGTGCTTCTGATTCTGAACTTGCTGTTTGCCTTCATTTCAATAGCACAACTGATAGATGATGATATAATCTTCCTACTGCTAACAAAATCGCTGCTATTTTACCCGGTGATGAATCATCTCCTGAAGCAATACGTGATATTATACTCAGATTACATGGAGGTCAACTTCAGCGCATCTATGAAAGTCACCCAGCATACCTGCCACTTCATTACGTTTTGTTGTTTTCACGTGAAGAGCTCAGATGGCATCCAGACCTAGCTCCATCTTCAATTACTACCCATGATCATAACGAAGAACATGAATATGACAAAGATCAAGATCAGACTTTACGCATTACACAAATGAATTTTTATTTATTTCGTCTGTTTCCTCGCAAAAATGAATTTTCGACTATTCTTTATGGCTGAAAATTATTACAAGAGTTTATAGTTGACGCTTGGGCTTCTACAGAACAAAATCGGCTAAGATATTTACGCTCGCACCAAGCTATACTACATGCAGATATGTACCAAGGACTTGCCGATATAGTTGGAAATATTGCAAATCAAGAAATGTTGCTAAATAATTTAGATCAACGAATAGTTCTCCCTTCGACTCATATTGGAAGTCCACATCATATGCTAGAAATTTTTCAAGACTTTATGGCTATAACTCACTTTTTTTATCATCCTGATATATTTGGAACTATGATAGCAAATCCAAATTGGCCAGAAATTATCAACGAATTATTACCTGGTGAAACTACAGCTGATTACCCTGATTTGATTGCACGCGTGTTTGAACTTAAATGTCATACTCTTATGCACGATATTAAAAAAAATAATGCTCTAGGAAAAGCAGTAGCTCATATATACATGATAGAGTTTCAAAAATGTGGCCTTCCGCATATGCATTTCCTTATTTTTCTTTATCCAAACAGTAAAATCAGAACTGCCTCTGACGTTGATCGCATCGTATGTGCTGAACTTCCAAATAGAGATACTGATCCTATACCTTTTAATACTATTTTACGTTGTATGATTCATAGGCCATGCAGTGCCCGCAATTTCAAAGCACCTTGCATGGAAAACAACAGTAGAAATTTAAGTTTAGGGCGTGAGTTTGGAAGGATATATGTAAAATTTTGTCTCCGAAAATTTGTTTTACTGTTTTTTTCCTTCTTGCGCGCATGTTCAGATTCTATGTCGGCTGATCCAGATCATTAAAAATTAGACTCTGTTACGAAAATTTCGTAATAAATTTTTCAACTATATTTTCATCGTCATATTTTTGCTAGTAATCAATTATTAATTATGTAATGAGTTTCATAGGTAATTTGCTCTATTATATTTCGCATCCATAATTACATTTAATACTTTTCGTACCAATGGCTATAATTTTTTTTGCAAAGTTTCTTTTTAGTTATCTTTTCCTTGAATTGTATCCTTGGACAGCTCACTTTTCGCATATAAAAAAGTCGTTCATTTAAAAAATACCTATAGTGTGTAGAGGTGAGGTAACGGAGTTGCAACTTTCACTCCTAAAGTTGCAACATTTGTAGTATTGACGTAAGTCGTAATATAAGTAGCGAGTATTATAGTATGTTGTCGGTTGTAATAAAGTAAATAATGTCGTAGGATGTAATAGAGTAAATAATGTCGAAGGTCATGATATAGGTAGTAAATAAGTAATGAATAATGTTTTATAATGCCGTAATGTAATGTAGTATATTTAATTATATAGTAATGAATAAGTATATACTATTTATTCATTCCCCGGTTTTTATTTATACTTCCATACAAATTTGTTCATTCTTATTGCCCAGATATTGAGTTTATTAGTTTATGCTTATTTCCCAGATCTTGAGTTCGACTGATCCGGAACATTTATATTTCTTTTTGATTATACGTATATCTTTTCTTATATCTTAACGACTTTTTAATACATTATCAAAAAAGTAGCTAAGTACGCCGAGTAAAAGAAAAAAAAAGAAAAAAAGCAAAGAAGAAGAAACCTCACGATTAATAAACTAAACATTACGAAATACGCAACTTTTAATTAAAAAATATTATGAAGTACAATCAAACCTCTCTATAGATACACCTTTTGGATATAAAGGTGTGTCTAGTATAAGGTATTTTCTATATAATTATAAATAAGCAGTAAAAATAAATTTGCAATTATATTAATTTTGTGATTATAGAAACGGTGACTAGAAAGGGTTGACTGTATAAATAGAACTAGGAAGTAAATCAGTTATTGCTCACTTCGCTAGCAATAACATATACATATCAACTTCAGCTTAACTCGCTTATTAGTCTAACTTTTGCTAACATTCGGAAATGCTACAAAGATCAAGTTAAAAACTTATCAGAACAATTTGGATGCGAGTTTTGTCTGTTAAATAGTTATCAAAAACTTTTACTTTAATTGTTATGAAGGGCACAACTAAATATGTGGGATTATTTAATTCCAAAAAAACGTTGAAAATAATAAACTCTGTTTATTCCTACCCTCAGGAAGGTTCAGCAAGCTTAAATATTTTAATCGACTTTAAGTGCAACATATAAAATCGGCCTTTTTAATTTTTAGTCTTCCGGAAATTATATTAAATATTCGCATATACTCTGGTTCATGTCTTATTAATTTATATTTATTTCATGATTTGAACTATATACTTAATGTTGCTTCTCTTGAAACAAAGATCATTCGCGAAACTTAAAAAATCTGCGCTTAATTATCAAAGTAACAATATTTTATTTTCTCCTGAAACACTAGATCCAAATCAACTCTACAATGTGCTATATATAAATACGACAATTTTTGCTACGACATTTATTACAGCCTGCGGCGTACTATAACAGGTTTTGATGGTAGTAATACAGCCATAACGTAATTGAGGTAGCACCGCCACAAAAATGTCTGCACCTTTAATCGTGTGTCTTTAACTAACGCTAATGATTACAATCTTAGTTAATAGTACCAACGTTTTGGTTGGCTGTTTTCTTTTTAGGGCGTCTAAAACGGAGTAGATTATGCGTATTTTATTAAATTAACTTTAGGGTTAGGTATGCTCATATAAACAAAATTGCCTTCACAACATTTTTTTATTAATTTTTATCCGATGTAGGCTTAGACCACTATATTTATATTTTTATCTTTTGCTTCGTTAGGGTGGGTTTATTGAATTCTATAATTTAATTGGTCCGATTAGCTTTGACGACTCCATTTTTAGAAATTTGGCTTTTGTATCACTTGGATAAACATTAAATTCACCTCCGTTACACTACGGACAACAATACTCTTTTAAACCATTTTGTCTTTTACCCCTTTCAAAATGATAGAATTACCAAATGAATGCCTTGAAGAAATATTTAATCACTTTAAAAATTGTCCCAAACACTTATTTTCATGTCTTCTTGTAAACCGTCAATGGTGTAGAATTATTGTTCCAATGTTGTGGAGAGAACCATTAAAGCATTGTGACGATAGAAAACTTATAAGAATATATTTTTTATCATTAAATTTTGACGAAAAGGCGTCATTAATTTCATTAATTCCATTAAATTTAATTCCATTAATTTCATTAAATATATCACTTGTCATTAATCCAAAACTATTATTTGAATATACATCTTATACTACTTATATCCATTGTTCTAATTTAAAAAAGGGAATTATAAATTACATTTACTATAAAAAATATGAAGATAATGATCAATATTATAACATATGTAGAAAATATGGCAAAGTGATTAAAGAAGTCGAATATCTTTTAATTAAAATGTTAATACGAACCAGTAAAAAAATCAAATATTTAAATCTCAATGGAAATATTTGTAATAGATCATCCAAGGTATTAGAAAATTTTCTTCACGAAAGCATCACTATTACTTTTTTAGATCTTTTTAACATTAATCATGGTTTTGAAGCTATAAAAGCATTAGCTGATATTCTTAGTAAAAACGTTGGTCTGATTTCATTAAAACTTCAGCATTGTAATCTTAGTTTTGAGGAAATGAAATTATTATCAGAAGCTCTTTATGAGAATACGACTTTAACCACCCTAGATCTTTCTGATAATTGGCTCAGTAATTACAATGTAGAAGTATTTGCGAAGGCTCTTTACAAAAATACGACTTTAACATCCTTAAATCTTGCCTGTAATTATTTTAGCTCTCAAACTGGAAAAGTACTTGCAAAGGCTCTTTATAATAATGTCTCCTTGATATACTTAAACCTTAATGATAATAATCTTGACACTGAAGGATGCAAGGCATTGGTAGAAGCTCTTTACAAGAACGCTACTCTAACCTCCCTGAGTCTTTATAACAATAGGATTGGTTTGGAAGGAGTAAAAGCTATATCAGAGGTTCTTTGCAGGAATGCTGCTTTAACTTTCTTGAATATTGGAAACAATATGATCGATTTTGAAGGAGTAAATGTGATGGCAGAAGCCCTTGGCAAAAATATCTCTTTAACTTCATTGGTTCTCACGAATTGTCAACTTAACTTTAATAAAATTAAGATATTAGCAAAAACTCTTTGCAAAAACACTACTCTGATTTTCTTAGATCTTTCTTATAATTATTTTGGTTTCGAAGGAGTAAAAGCATTAGCAGAAGTTCTTGAGATGAATAATACCTTAGCTTCTTTAAACATCAGTAATAATCTAATTTATGTTGATGGAATCAAAGTTTTGTCAAAAGCTCTTTATAAAAATACGGCCTTATCCTCCTTAGATCTTAGTGGCAATTTTCTTGATTACGAAGCAGTAAATGCATTAGCTGATGCCCTTTACAAAAACACTATTTTAACTAAGATAGCTCTTTCCAATAATAGAATGTTTTATTATTATAAAGAATTTGTGGTATTAACTAATGTCTTTTACAAAAACACTACGTTAACTAACTTAGTTCTTTCTTATAATTGTCTCACTTTTAAAGAAGGGCAAGTACTATCAGGAGTTCTTTGTGAAAACACTACTTTAACTTTTTTGGATCTTAGCTATAACTATCTTGGTTATAAGGGGGTAAAAGCAATAATCGAAGCTCTTTGCAAAAACTCTACTTTAACTGATTTAAATCTTTATAGTAATCACCTTAGCTTTAAAGAATGCCAAATATTGGAAAAAGCTCTTTATAAAAATAATAATTTACTTTCATTCAAGCTTGTATAAAATTGTGAAATTTGAAATTTAAATAAATAAAATAAATTATATTTGTAAAAAATGCAAAAGCTATAACTTGATAAGAAATTATCACCAGTTAAAAATCAAAAAATTTGACATGTAAAATGGCACCATTCGATTGCCATTCGACATGATATTCAGCTAATGATTGACAAACATTCGACCATCAATCTATTGACATTTGACCAAATATTAACCGATTGATGTTGTTACGACTAAGGGAGACTTTATATCGATACAGCCAATTCAGCTTAGGGTCGTAAGCATTAAAGAGAAGAAACCAAGTATTATTATTGATATACACCATGTATTTATTATTGATATACAAGACACTAGAAGTAACCAAAACCTACAACAAACTATCCAATTTTCACTATTCCTACCAAACCC